ATGATTAATGATCTATGCGTATTACTTTAGAAGTTAGATTTTTTTCTCTTTTTTTTTAAAAAAAAAGTACCTTAAATGAATGATCTCCTTTTAATATAACACCATCTAATAAGGACGTGTGCTGATTCATATACGGATTAAATTCAGCAATTATAGAACAGTAAACATAGCTCAGGTAGTTTGCTGAGGGGACATATCCATTATACCCATTTATATCACTGAATGATGAAAATTCGGGATAACTTGTAGCTGATGAAAAGTTTCCAATCAATTGCTTGGCTTTTCTTTGTTCCTCAAGCTTGTCTTTCATAGCATCATAATATTGGAACTGGATTGTATCGTACTTTTCAGTATGGTTGGATCTCAGAATTTGATTCATTCTATGTGGACCAGTTGCATTCTGAAATTGTGGACGCAATAGTTTGACAAGTTTGTTTGAAAACCCAAAACGGTGAGTCAATACGGCAGAAAAATCAGCTTGAATTCTTGCGGGTAGCTGCCTGACAATTTCCGATGCATAACCCATGAAAGTATGAACTGTGGTTTTGTTAGTGCATTTAAAGCGGACGCTGAGCAAATAGAAGCAACTAAGGAAATTGTATGTTAATGCGACTGAATTATATTGAACAATATTAACATCTTGCTTACTCTTCTAAGTCAATAATACGACGAGCTTTTGTTTTCTGGACCCATTCCTTTGCGAGCAAAGTGTTATTACATTTAGGACAACGCAAAGGGGTTCGAGTCAAATATTGGGGAAGCCATACGCATACTCTTGGCCGTTAAAGTAATTCATGATCAATTTTTTTTTTCAGAACGAAAGATATACTTGGAGGGTTAATCCAAAATGTGCCTTGATTATATTCATCAGGAGTATTTCCACCTTTAAGTTTATCTTGGATTGATCCGAGATATTTGTCAAGCCATCCTTTCTCGGGAATCTCCGCTGCCCTATTTTCGATTGAGGTGATTTGCTCCTCAGTTAACTCTTCGATATTTGAATTATCATCTTCACTTTCCGAATCAATTGGGACATTCGCGTCATCTTCAACAAGATGTACATTTTCCTAAATTTGAAATGATTCAGCAAGCCTTTATTTGATCATTTAAAATATTATCATGTTACCTCATCTTCGGCATTTAAATTAATGCTATGGTGCGTACTTTCCGTGGAAGAAGAGGGGTCTCCATTATTATCAATAGCATTTTGATTGACAAGGTTTTAATTTAGTACTTGATCGTTCTACGGTAAGTAAAATAAATATCCAAATAAAAAAATAATACCAATACTTTAATAAAAAATTACCTCCTCGTTTGGGTAAACATTGATTTCACCAGAGCCCGCAGATTCAAATCCTTGTAATACTGCTGTACTGAAAAATGATGAGTGTTGACTTCGTCCGGTGGTACTGCTTTCAGCTTCTTCTGCAACAATGGGAAAGTCTAAAAACGTCTGATTAACTAAGTGAGCTGGCTTTGGGCCTGGTGCTTTGGATCCAAGCTTATTTTTTGAGCCCAAGCGGCGGACTTTCTTTTTAATTTGATTAGTTGACATTATCCCTGCTTTGTTTTAACAAAGTATATCAGTACGAAGCATAATCAATATATAATTTTGGTCCCAAACGGCGTCTGCTATTCTTACTTACAAAAACTTATATTATGAGGTTTTATATATAAAGAAATGAAAAAAAAATAAAAAAAGTACAGTCAAAGTAGAAAAGACATTTATTAATGTAGGTGTAGATTGCGCGAGAATAAAATCAACATTGTCAAACAAAAGGGGTACACACAAAAAAAACATTTAATTATCCGCTGGAGATTACAGCGCTGCCTGTTTGAAACCCGATACACTATTCCTGGCATTTGTATTGGCTCACTACACTATTCCAACCAGTTTTACTGGCTGGATTTCTTACACTACACAACTTTCTAGCACTACTATTGGCTCCTTACACTATTCCCAGCACTTTTATTGGCTAGATTTGGCCCGACTATAAGCGTACCGTCAAATACGACGGGGAATTCTACTCCATCCTCCGAAATTTGCACCAATGCACCCGCAATTCATACATCGCACGCGTCACAGTAAACTCGATGTTTCAGATCAGGGAATGGGTATTTGAGTTGAGTTGCTGCGATTAATGGTTCTTTCAGACCCTCAAATTCAGCTTGATGATCCTCCGTCCAAATAAACTCTTGATCCTTCTTTAACAAATTGGTCATTAAAGTAGTGAACCGGCTGAAATATTGGATATGCCTGCGATAGAACCCAGCCACGTTGATAAATTCCCTTATGTCCGTTTTATTTCCTGGAGTTTCAATAAGTTTTACCTTATCAATCTTATGCTTCAATGGCAGCACCCCTTCCTTTGATACTTCAAACCCTAGGAGTTCAATCTTATCTTAAAATAGATTACACTTGTCTGGATTGAGAGTCATATTAACCGCAAGTAGCCTATCCAGTACTCGTTTTAGACGTTGCAAGTAATCTTCAAAAGTTTTGCTAAAAACAGTGCAATCGTCAATGTATGTTATGCAAAATTGAAGTATAAATTCTTGCAAGGCCAAGTGAATAGCTCGACTAAACGTAGCTGGTCCGTTGACCACCCCAAAAGGTAACATACGGTACGAATAATTCCCAAACTGGGTGGCAATAGTAAGTTTCGGAATGTCTTCTTCTTCACAAGCAATTCGGTGAAAGCCTTTAAGTAAACCAAGTCCACTAAAGAATTGGGCTCCATGGAATGATTCAATTAATTTGGAAATAAGTGGCAACGGCCATGGGCCCGTACTGTAACGTTGTTGAGATCCTGAAACATAGTCACCAACCTTTTTGTACCACCCTTCTTCGCTACATACATGACTTAAAAAGCCCATCCACCATTACTTGATTCTGCCTTGAAGTGCATAGCTGGTATTAAGATACCACTCTCCACCATATCCTTGAGGTTCTTTTTTTGAAGATCTAGTTCAGAATAAGTCATTCCTTGGAAAGGGCGTGTTATCACCGGCTTGGCATCACCTGTATTTACGTGAAATTTTACCAAACTAGTTTGTTTTACGTCCTTATATCCAGTACCAAAAGCATCCCTTTTGTTAAGCAATAATTCCGTAAAGCAGGTTCGTTGTTCCTCAGTTAGAAGTTCATTGACCTCTGCTTTCTCCACAAGTTTACTCATCTTGTCTACATCTGTCTTCTGCTCCGTCTCTTCCATCATATTATTGTTCCGGACAGATACCAAATATCAGGACTCATTTTCCCTGGTACTCACTCGTGATAAGGGCCGGTGTGCATGACATTCAACTTGTGAAACTCCTGTTAATCTCGCAAATACCAATGCGATGTGGCTAAATCAACACCAATACCCAGTTCCGCCATAACAATGTGTCCCAGTAAGAACCTATAGGATTTTGGAGGCAAATCCAAACATAATGCACTAGTTTTGATATGACGCCCAGGAAAGACGTCAACGCTCAAGTCGTTAATAATACCCTTGGCCAACATCTTTCTGCCATCTCCTACCATCATGTCCCTGTTTTTACCAAACGCAACTGATTTTTAAGACCCAGTTCTCCTACTACCTTCAGGTTAATGATACAAGGTGTACATCCAGTGTCACAGATCAAGTTATACTCCTTATTCCCAATTTTTCTTTTGATCTTTGGAGCGTGGTTTCCTCGAGTTACAATAGAATCAAGGTCCAACTTTGGCTACAAGATGTCGGTAATTGCTGCTTTCTCTTGTACCTTCGTATTTTTAATTGGTCTTCTAAATTCCGTATGTGCTTTAGAAGAGAGATTTACAATGTCATCGAAAGATAACTGGAACACCTTGTTCTGTCTTAATTGTTTAACCAAACTTGCTGTGGGCGTTTTGGTTTCAGGGGGGGACGCATCATCATTGGGATTAAATATCTCAACCCTGGAATAAGCACAATCATGGTTAGCTTCATTGTCAATTATCTCTTCATCGTCTGTCGTGCGAGTACCACGAGTTGGGTCGCAATGGAAGTCGTCGAAATTCAACCGGACCTCTTTGATGCAGCTGTTCTTTTCATCATCCTTTTCTTCAGTCGTGGAAGTAGTGGCTTCAGTGACCTTGCGGAAAATATTTTCAGTGTCCTTCTGTTTAGTTTCCATAGGTAAGGGCGGCTCTCCAACTCCCTTGGCGACTTGGCTACGCAATTTCTTTTTGACAATATTATTTCTTGAGATTTCAGCATTGTCGCTAGTACGCTTGACCATCAACACTTTTCCAACTATTTCCTCACAAAGATCATCTGTAATTCCCATTAACAGAGCAGCAGATTCTCCATTGGTGATTGCGCGCGCATCGTATGGCGTACGTCTACCACAATTTGTTTTTGCGAGTTTGACTGGACCGAAGTAGCGCTTATGCTTCGTGCTATTATAGTCTTGACATGGAGATGAGTAATCACGATCTAGATGTCCAATGACGTTGCAGTTATAGTATGCACCTGTTACTCGTAGATTTTTAGGCTTGTTCATTGCGTTTTGCAGCATTAATATTAACTTATTGTTTTGCTCAGGACACATAGTAAGGCTGATTGGAAGTCCGGTAGGGTAGAGGGTGTCACTTTGCTTGATTTAGATTTTGTTTTTGGCCTTTTTCGTAGGCTTTTCTTCGTCGGAATCACTTGCATCCGTATCACTGTCCGAATCATCCGACGAGCCATTGTCTGATTAATCGCCATCTTCATACACGATTTCCCGAAATTATTGGCGCGCTTTTCGAAAAAAAATAGGTTCATTGCACCTCACCCCACTAATTTAAAAAATTAAAGATCATTTTGACCTCCGTGCAAGCTAAATTTTGACGTCAAATTTTCATTTTACTGGTAAAATCACAAAAAAGCACAAAAAAATGTAAAAAAAAAAAAAAAAAAAAAGTACAAACGTCATCAAAAATAATTTTTTATTTATTGGCGGGAGTGGCTTTAGACTTTAAATTCTTTCTTTTATTTTATATTAAAAAAAATGTCACTCGTCTCTAGAATTGAAACTGTCTCTTACACTCGCATTCGCGCAGAAGCAGATAGACGTAAAGCAGCAGATATGGACTTATGGTTGGAATGCAGACAAGATGATCCAACGATCACCCTGGAAGAGGTGAAGGCACTTATCGGTCGATACCACAATCAGGACGTCATCTTGCCTGAAAGACCCCGCGGCATCAGCAAGTACAATGTCTACTGCCAGCAAGAAAAGGAAAAGATTCTTGGTGGAGAATCTGGGTCAACTTATTTAACCCCCAAGATTCTTTCTGAGGGGTATCAGAAACTGTCAGATGCTGAGCATCTTGAACTCAATGCAGCCGTTTGAACGTTGGAACAGAAAAACCAAATGGAACAACTAATTAACACGGGTTTGACGAGCCGTAAAATTTGGGAAACTTTAACGGGTTTTCTCAAAGCCTTGTACCGGTTTCATGGCACAGAGTTTATAGGAATTTTTGGGAAAAAGAAAACCTGGAACGATGTTTGTTATGGAGGTATGGCTTTACATAATTTCTTTATTAAAATACTAAACCGTTATAAACTAGAGAACGTTCGTGGAATGGACTTGGGACGATGGAAAAAAGAAGTGAGACTGTACGTCAATCCCAAGTCCCGTGGTAACGATATCTATATATAAAAGCAAAAATAGCAATTACTACTAATTTCCAAACTTATGTTTAGCCACTCCCCACACTAGTGAAATATTGCACAGCCAAAGAGTTTCTGGTGTGAAGGAATCCCTCAGGAACTCAATCAGTAAGATCATAACCAATAGAAAATGATCCTTGCCTAATCCTATTATGTAGATCGCCAATGCGAAACCGTGTATGAAAAAATACCTTGGAAGCAATTGGTGAAGTTTGAGGACCTGGGGGCAACAGTTCTCACAAGCCAAAATATTGTAGTCGAGAATTGGCCGTTGCCGGATTTTGTCCATAAGAAATTTATGGCAAAGGACAATTTCAAAATGGTGGAGAACAGTTTAAACGATCTTAAGTTTAAACTGTCTCGCCATTACACTAGGGCGAATTCTATTGAAACCAACAATGATTGAATAAAAAAATATCTCGTTTCTTCTCTTTTCATTTATTTTAATTTTCGAAAAAAAAAAAAAAAAGTAAACTCTTATGAATCATAGGATAAGTTATATCTCAAAGGTTGGATTCGTCAAAAAGGCTATTATTTTGATCAGGCAATTAACACTCATGTCAATACATTTTTTTTATAAGATCGTCTGCAAGGTATGGTAATTGTTTTTTAAGTATTAGTATGGCAATGTTCGTATCGGTTCTAATACTGTACGTATCAGATACATTTTTTTATCGTTAATGTTACAAATCAATTACTTCTGATTTGATAAAAAAAAATATAAAGTATATAAAAAAAACAATGGTACGATAGGTACGATTATAAGTCCTTGTTACTTTATTTGACTGAAGTTTTAACTATGAAATAATGGGGTCTATTTATACTCTTTTGAAAGCTGACTGTTATTAGAATTGCTAGTCCATAAATTTATCTTGACTGTTGAATTCTACATGAATTCAAGGGTACGCTTGTCGCCGACAGATTGCTTCAATGATTTCTAATAATATTTTCTATCGGCTCTTCCATTGTATTCAATGTGTCAGAGTTCCAAATTTGGACAATTTATATAAATTTGGATTACCGATGATTTTTATTGTATGTGCGTTTAGCACATGTCCTCCCTCTAGATTCAACGTTAGTTGATCGATGATAGGTATGCTTCCTATTTCAGCATTTTTCATAGTATGTCCTCATCCTAGCTACATGATTTTTTTTGTATGCATATTTTTGTGACTTGTTCCTGTGGGTATATCTATTTACATATATATATATTTTTTTTTTTTTTTTTTTTTTTTTTTTTTTTAAAAAAAATTTATCTATCTCGATTGCTACGTCTTTTCTTAGCGGGAAGTTCTTTATGTATTGTCTCCTTATTAGATCTTGTATTTCTTTTGTTATCAGTTATAATCTTTGTATGCTTTTCTTGTCGTTTGCTAACTTTCTCTGAGCGTTGAACTAACTCATTCTTTCTTCCTTGTTCTAGTCTTTCAAGCTCACGTACTTTTACCCAATATTTGCGGATCGTGTCTGGCGATGAGAATGCTGATGCTTGTAACCATGAGTTCTCTCGCTCTCCGTAACCTTTCCACTTTACTAAATATTCGCGATTGCCTTCTTTGTCTTCTCTGTGATCACGAATCTCGTCAACTTCGAATAACTCGTCTTCTATTCCTGACTCGTCAATATTTACAATTTTCAACTCTGACGGAACATAATCACGATGTAACAACTCGTTCATTTCATCCTTCAATACATAAGTGCCACCCATTGTCTTTCGTACAACTGTAAATGGTCCCTCGTATAGCGGTGATAACTTGGTTGCTCTATTTGGTAACTTTACCATAACGGTTGTGTCGTTAGGAATGTCAATGAGGTAATGCTTTTTGTTAAACTTCTTACTTTGTTCCTCAACTATTTTTCGTGTTCTTTCTTCAATAGCGGGAAATACAACCGATGCCATTATTTCAGCTCGTTTGATCAAATCCTCTTCTGTCGCCAATTTTCTTGGGATTGTTCTGGACGGATCAGTGTAATCTTTGGGAGTTGTCAACTGTCTCGCATACATCAATGAAAATGGGCTACTAGCGGTTCGATTACGTATTTTATAATTGCAGCATAATTGTGCGATGGGTAACATTTCATCCCATTTATTCGTGTCATTGCCTAATAATTTGCGGAGTGTGGAAACGATCACCTTTACGGCATTTTCTGCTGCACCATTTCCCCTTGGATGATATGGTGTCGAAAAACGATGTTCAATACCTAATGCATTTGTGATCGAGTTCATCAAAGCATTCGAGAAATCGCGGCCGTTGTCTGTTACCCACATAAGATTTATTGGTATGCCATAGTCTCCTAGTACATTCATTATCGCCTTTGCCACTGTGTTACTTTGTTTATTTTTCAGTGGTCTTGCAATTATGTACTTGGTGCATAAGTCGACCATTACCAGGATATATATGTTATTATTCTCTGTAACGGAAAATGGACCTGCTAAATCAAGAGCTAAGAATGTAAATGGATCTGCACTGACCACAGGTCTCAATGGATGATAACCTTTCTTTGCAATGTTGTTTCGTGCACAATCGATGCATGTTTGTACGTATTCTTTACTGTCTTTAAATATACCATTCCAGTGTATACCTTGAGCATGTAATTGTTGTACCATACTTTCTGATCCAAAGTGTCCCATTGCATGAGTTTCACTTAATAATTTACTTCTTTCATTTATGGGTGGAGCTATGTATTCAGTTGTTGTTTCTTTGTATTCTTTACTGTTTAGTCTTACAGCTAATACGTTCAAATTTTCATCTTTACTGTATATTTCTTTTTTATGAATGAATTGATCTTTTGCAATCTTTTGATTGATCTTATCAGTCGGTAGTCTTCTTTGTAAGATCATACGTTCTAACTTCATAATTTTCTTCTCTTCATCCTCCCTCAAAATTTGATCCTCGACTTCTGGGGGGTATAAGCGACTTAATATATCAGGAAATGTGTTGGAAAATCCTGGGATATACTCGACTCGATATTTGAATTCACTGAGAATGTCCATGTAATTTTGCAGCGTTCGGCACAAGTGCGTAGCTGTGTTCATGAATACCAGGCTTCTGTGATCAGTTAATACAACGATGTCAGGGTGTCCCCAAAGAATGGACCTGTATTTCTGAAAGGCATATACAATTGCATATGTTTCCTTTCGATTTACGGACCATGCCATTTCATGTTTGCCAAACGTTTTACTGGCAAATGTAATGTATAGAGATCTGCCGAGCTCATCGCGTTGCGAGATTAATACTCCATACGCATAATGTGATGCATCAGTTTCTATATATATACGCTTGGTCATGTCGATGGTGTGCAAAATCGTACTGGATGTAAGCCATGTTTTCAGCGATTTCAATGCCTCGTCTTGTTGTGTAGTCCATATAAATGGCTTATTCTTTTCACTACAGTTCCGGAGTGCGTTGATTGAATAGGATATTCTTCCCATTAAGGGAACGAACTCTCTCAGATGTGATACAATGCCCATAATATGTCTAACGTCACGACTATTTCTGGGTGTTTTCCAGTCGTCAATATTGCACAATCGCCTCGTATCAATTTTTTTGATTCCGGGGCCAACAATAAATCCTAGCAAATATATCGAAGTTTGAAGAAACGAGCACTTGTCAAAGTTGATGCGAAGATTAACCGAGGTTAATTTCTCAATTACAGCCTTAACAATTTCCGCGTGATCTTCTGGCGCCGAATATATGCACAGATCATCGATGTAATTTCGTACGCCTTCCATCCCTTGGAAAAGTTGCGCAATTACTCGTGAGTATTGTTGTGATATGAATGATAATCCAAAGCAGCATCCTTTCCATCTGTAAGTCTTATTTTTGAATGTAAAGCTTAAGATTTCTTGTGATTCACTGTCAACTGGAAATGAAAAATACGCATTCTTTAAATCAATTTTCGTGTAGACTCTTCCCGGTGCACTTACTTCGGCAAACATTTGTTCCATATCCGGGATCACATATTTGTCCGTTTTAGAGTCATCAATATTGGAATTGATTCTTCGAAGGTCCATACACACTCTTATTTTGGTTAATTGCCCAGTTTGGTCATCCTTTTTTCCTACAGCTAATAATGGTGTGTTATACTTCGAGCTGGGCATGCTTTCGTATACTATCCCCTCATTTACCCATTCATTAATCTGTCTTTGTATTTCTGGTATTTGATGGTACACTAATGGATACTGCTTGATATACATGTTATCTGTTTGTGTTTTTAGAGGGATGCGAATGAGTGCCTCAGGCATCGTGCAAAACGATCCTTTCGGTATATTTTTATTTGCCTCGGTGGCCCCATGTATTTCTTCTAAAAATATCTTTCGCTCCTTGTCCGTACCATAATTAGCATTTTCCGGATCATATTTGTTCTGCGTGTCAAAGTTTACATTCCGAAATTGTGCTTCTGTTCTTTCCTCATCGGGGTAACAATAGGCAACTCCCGACAATGATATCCGTAATTTACTCAAGATATCGAGACCTAATAATACATCAAATTGGGATTCCATTACACTGCTGAACTCTACTACTTCAAAAGCAAAATCGAAATTTAAATCATTAATATAACGAACTCTTAAAGGTTCTGTTATTCCAATTCGTTTTACTTTAATATTTTTCTTATTATTGTCAAGTGAAAGATAATTAAGAGACCCATTTATTTTGGAAATTTTTATTTCTTTATTGAATTTACTGTCTAAAATTGATTTATTTATGCATGAGATATCCGATCCCGTGTCTATTCTTGCTATTACTTTTTGCTCTCTAATAATGATAGGAGTCAATGTCAATTTTAATGGATTTCTTTCTTTCCTTTGCATATTATACTTACATTCATACGCATCTATTTCCATAGCCTCTTTGATATTTGAGGTCTTTGGCCCTTGATCATCTTCATCGTCCTCCCGACGAAGAGCCAAAACAGTACGGTTATTCTTGTGTTCATAATATTCTTTACAGGTGTGACCATGGTTCCATTCCTTTTTACAGTACCGGCAGGGTTGTCCCTTCATGTTGTTACCCGTGGCCTTGAATGGAATGTTCTTATTGCCCAAAAATCTATTCTTCTTTACGTCTTGACTTCGACATTCTTCGACAGTGTGGTTAGCCTTTTCACCCCCATGTTTTGGACATCCTTTAGTTTTCTTCACCCCATACTGTTGCCATTCTACTGATGCATCATCACGTCGACGTTTTACCGGTGAATTTACCTTATTTGTCACCAAACGAGCACTTTCCCCAACTGGTTCATCCCCAAAGATCTCCCGGCCGATGTCACATATCTTGTCAATAGTGAACTCATACTCCTCGTCCACCAGACGCTTACCCTCCATGGACGAAAATATCAATGGTTTACATGGCTCATACAAGTGTGATCTAAATAGGAGCACTATCATCTTGTCATCTTTCTG